GATGATTGTTCTCGGCCCACCTAGGTATATCTTATGAAGGACAAATGTGAGGTTTTTTCTGTATTCCAAAATTTTCATAAAATGATTTGCACTTAGTTTGGGGCGGTTGTCAAAATTTTGCGTTCTGACAATGGGGGAGAATACATTTACTCTGGCCTTGCCCGCTATTTTGCCACTCATGGTATTCTTCACCAAACTTCGTGTACCAATACCTCTTAACAGAATGGTGTTGCAGAGCATAAAAACTGCCATCTTCTTGATATTGCGCGTTGTTTGTCCTTTGAAATGCGTGTTCCTAAATCATATTGGAGGGAAGCTGTTCTTACTGCAGCCTTCCTTATCAATCGTTTGCCTACCCAGGTCCTCAACAAACACACTCCTCTTCAGGTTTTGTTAGGGTCCCACTCATCTGGTTTCTCCATTCCTCCCAAAACCTTTGGGTGTGTGCGCTTTGTTCATAACCATTCTCCTACCCGTAGTAAGTTGGATCCTAGGTCTCTTCGGTGTCTTCCTGGGTTACTCCGCCACACAAAAGGGCTACAAGTGTTATCATCCCCCCTCTCGGAAATGGTTTGTCTCTATGGATGTGTCTTTCTTTGAGTCTCGGTCCTACTTCTTGTCCTCTTCGGTGTCCCAGTCCTCCCTTCAAGGGGAGCCTTGGCATGAAGCGATTCCTGTGTCACTACCATCAGTGATTGAGCAGGTTGAGAATGTTAATGGTGACCTTGCTATTGATATTGAGAATGTTGAGTCTGAATCCACAATGAAAGACGGCAAAGTTTATGTCAGGGACAAGGATAGAAAACAAGTTACTTGTTTACAAGAGACCCATTCGGATTCTCCACTGCTATCTTCTTCTCCTGATGAGTGTCCAAAATCCTCTTCTTCTGATGAAACTCCAGGTAACTCTATTATTTCTGATCTAGATGTTCCTATTGCTAAAAGGAAAGGGGTTAGATCTTGTACTCAACATCCTATTTCTGATTTTGTCTCTTACACTAATCTGTCTCCTTCCTATAAAGCTTTTCTGTCTAAAGTTTCTTCTGTGAGTCTTCCTTCTAATTTTCAAGATGCTTTTTCTACTCCTAAGCATGGTTATCAGAATCCCGATTCGGATCTTACGATCCATTTGAGTACAATCGATCCGGATCGTGTAAAAAAATCCTTATAGGTAGGATCTTTCGATCCTGGTAGTGGGATCTTATAGGATCGTGGAATCCCGATCCGAATCCGATCCTATCCGATCTAATTTACAAGCCTTGTTTTGTATTGTATGACGTATTTTATTGTAAATTTTATGTTTGTTGTCTAAATACCAATTTATGTGGTCAAAATAAATAATAAAAATTAAGTAGTATTGAATCAAATAGACTAAGAAAAACAAACTAGCAAACAAACATTCAAATATTGCGGTTATTTAAGAAAATTAAATAGTTGGAAAAACAAACTTAGCTTTAGCGGAGTCTAAGGAGGGTAAGATGATTGCAACTTTATCCCAATTTTTGGAGAGATTATTTTTGTGACTCGAATCCGCTCCACTAAGGATACTAACGACAAACCTTATCATTCGATTAAGCTACTCTTTTGAGTTCTTCATCTATTTTCATATCCAATTTTGTTAAATATTTTTTCTTTACTTTTTATGCATTATTATAGCGACCCCGGTCTTTTCCCATTTGACTATTGTGTCCGGACATAGGTTCCGTAGATTCAGTCATTGTATAATGGTTGTTGTTGTTCCTTTTTTTTCTCATTTGGAATTATAGGATGTGTTGGGGAGGTTTGTTTCAGGTTGGTTGGGTTTAGAAATCAAGTGTTGTTGTCCAGTATTTTGGATCTTCGCTCGAGCGAGTAGTTTGTCGCTCGAGCGAGCTGTTATTTTTGGTTCTTCGCTCGAGCCGGGGTTTGGTAGCTCGAGCGAGAGTTTGTGTCTGGTTTGGACCTGTAGCTTTGCATTCTTGGCTCGAGCGAGCTTTTCTTCGCTCGAGCGAGTTAGTTCATGCTATTGTTTTATTCATTGCTTATATGTGGTTTAGTATATTTCTACTGGGCTGTGGTTCACCCTTTATGGGAACATCATTTTCAGGTTCAGGTGATAAACTACCTCCAAGGACTTAGCTTGGGAGGGTTTGGCTTCTGGATTGGAGAAGACTACCTTTAGTTAATTGTCTTTAATTATTAGTACATGTAAACATTCAAGCCTAGGGCTTTTCTTATGTTGAGTTAGAACTCATATTTTTGTATCCAAGTGTTGGCTTGAAAAGATGTAAGCCTGTAGGGCGTTTTATCCGATATTACATGTAATACTTTATTTGGTAATACTCTGATAAATGAATTAAATAATTGTCTTCTTTAAATAATGCATGTCAATGATATATAATGGGTTAATTTTGAGGTCGTTACATTATTGTAGATTGTAATGCATTTTGTTATAGAATTCTTCTTCTTCTTCACCTTCTTTTTTGATGAAATACAAAACTTTTACCATCGATTTTTCCATTGTATAATATTATATGTACATTTTACATAGAATATTGTATTTTTCACAATATCTTCACTTCTTTTTAATAGAATATAGGCTCATTTTGTGTATACTTTGTAAGAAATATTTATTTAAATTAAATTATTATGTAATTTGTCTTTTTCGGTAGGATCTTACTATTCTCGATCCGATTCTACGATCCGATCCTATAAACACCTCCAACGATCCAACGTAGGATCCCGATTTTAACAACCTTGCTCCTAAGTGGAAACATGCCATGATGGAGGAGATGAGAGCCCTGGCTAGAAATGGCACTTGGGAATTGGCTGAGTTGCCTAAGGGCAAACGACCTGTTGAATGTAAGTGGGTGTACACAATGAAGCACATTTCAAGGCAAAATTGGAGGCCAAAGGCTTCACGCAGACTTATGGAATAGACTACCAGGAGACATTTGCTCCTGTTGCTAAGATTAACACTGTCAGAGTCCTCTCTCTTGCCTCTAATCTTGACTGGCCTCTCCACCAATTTGCTATGAAGAATGCCTTCCTTCATGGTGATTTGGAAGAAGTGTACATGGACATTCCCCCAAGCTTTGAGGATGTTAAAACTAAAAGAAAAGTATGCCGACTAAGCAAGTCACTTTATGGACTCAAATAGTCACGTAGGACTTGGTTTAAGAGATTTACTCGGGCCATGCTGCGATATGATTTCAAACAGAGTCAAGTTGATCATACTTTGTTCGTGAAACACTCCTCACATGGTAAGACGACAACTCTTACTGTTTATGTGGATGATATTGTACTCACAGGGGATGATGTTGAGGAGGTTCCTCGGTTAAAGGAGTATTTGGCTAATGAGTTTGAAATCAAAGACTTAGGTAGCTTGAAGTACTTTCTAAGTATTGAAGTTGCTCGATCCAAAGAGAGCATCTTCATATGTCAAAGAAAGTATGTGTTGGATTTGCTAAAAGAAACTGGGATGCTTGGAAGTAAAGTCTGTGATACACCACTAGAGACTGGACTGAAGCTTAGTGAGGATCAAGCAGACGAGCTTGTAGACAGAGGGAGATATCAGCGGCTAGTGAGTAAGCTTATCTACTTATCCCATTCGCGTCCTGACATTGCTATCGCAGTGAGTATGGTTAGTCAATTTATGCATGCTCCACATGCAATTCACCTAGAGGCAGTTATGCGGATACTTGAAGTCTTCTCCGAGAAAAGATCTCTATTTCTCTAAACATGGTCATCTTAGTGCAAAGGCATATACAGATGATGATTGGGCTGGGTCAGTCACTGATAAAAGGTCAACCTCTGGCTATTGTACCTTTGTTAAAGGAAATCTAGTTACTTGGAGAAGCAAGAAACAAAATGTAGTTGCAGGGTCTAGTGTAGAGGCTGAATTCAGGGCTATGGCTCAGGGTGTGTGTGAGCTATTATGGATCAGACTACTTTTGAGGGATTTGGGGATTCATCAGACAGATTCTATGCGGTTATACTGTGACAATACGGAAGCCATCAATATAGCTCACAATCCAGTTCAGCATGATAGGACCAAGCATGTGGAGATTGATATCAAGGAGAAGCTCACTAGTGGCACTATATGTACGCCATTCGTGAGATCCGGAGACCAACTAGCTAATGTTCTCACCAAAGGATTAGGGAATAAACCATTCCGTGACATTCTTAACAAGCTGGGCATGAGAAATATCTTTGCAGCAGCTTGAGTGGAAGTGTTAGAATGTGTTAAAATATTTCCATTTTATTCTGATGAATATTTAGTATATTCTTATTTTATGCCTTATGGCACTTCTGTAATTATGGTGGTGATTTAATATAAAAGAGAATGAAATACCACTCATACCTCTAACTTTTTCTTACTAAAAAATAACATGTTCATCCCACACTTCTCCTTAAAACCCAGGTATTAAGGAGAGAGAAACTGGAGACCAGTACAGATGTGGCAATTCCAAGCGACGTGGGACATATTCCAATACACCCTCCTAGACCACAACATACATTAGCCAGACAAATGTCACACCAATAACAGGCCCAACTAAGCTCTGATACCAAATTGAAAAGTCCAGCCTACACTTCTCTTTAAAACCCAGGTATTAAGGAGAGAGAACCTGGAGACCAGTACAGATGGGGCAATTCCAGGCGATGTGGGACACATTCCAACAGAAACTATTCAGAATATTGTAAAAGGTTGTGACGGTGTCTAATGGGCCGCTACGGTACCACTACAGCCTTTATGTAACATCGAAATGGTCGTCACACATGTGAATTTCTATCACACCGCTATAGTGGCCGCAACGGATGGTGGTAACCACCACAACCATTACGTAATGGTTACGGCCGCTTTTTAAAACCCTACACCCCAAACAAAAATTTGGCTTAAACAAAAGTCAATGAAATGACCAGTTTCAGAGAAGAAAAAAGGAATAGAAAAGCAAGTCAGCAAGATTATGAACTTTTGCATGTATCAATCACTACCGGAATGCTTGGTGTGCAAAACTAACCTTTACAACAGAGGCAAATTTGTCATCCAAGATTATGATGTCTGAGCTCTCCTTAGCAACTTCTGTGCCTTGGATGCCCATAGCAAGACCAATGTCAGCCTACATTCCAAAACAATTACCAAATCATTTAAACAGATGGGCAATACAGATAAATACACGTATCAGGAAACCATGAAAACACCAACTACTTGTTTTGTTCCACAGGAGAAACCTTAGTTGCCAAACAAATACAGTCCATTCATGAAGCCCAACTCAATCAGATCATCAAATTGATTATTATCGGTTCCAAAGCAGCAGAAACCTAATTTGAATAAATGAACGAAGGAACCCACACTACCTATATATGAGTTCATCTGAGGAATATAACAACGGACCTCTACCATCAATCAGAGACTGTCTCATACCTCATGTAGTGCAGGAGCATCATTAGTGCCATCTCCAGTTACTGCAACAACATGTCCCTTCTTTCTCAATGTTTGCACAAGCAGCAGCTTGTCACTAGGAGAAGACCTTCCCATTACCTATACATTGTTGAAATTAGGAAATAGTGATGTTATAATCATGGTAGTATTAGAATTAGGAAAGAGTGATATTGTAATTATGATAGTGTGTATAAAATCTATGATTGTGTCAATCACAGATTTAATACCTTTTTTTATCTTTGTTTCCTTTTTTGTTTGTTTCCCATTTTGTTGGTTTCTTATTTTGTAATATTGTTTCATTATAAATACAAGGCTCTACCTCATTCATAGGTAACCAAAATAATTATTTTCATTCTTTTTGGTATCAGAGCTAGGTTAAGTACTTAGTAATTTTGCTTCACCGGCGGGCGGTAGCCTTGCCTTGGCCACCCACCAGACCTCAACCCCTTTTAAACTGTCTCAATATTGATTTCGATAAGTTCCTACAACGGTTCCGAAATGACCCCATAAACTGTCCCGACATTGATTCTGGTCAATTCCTACAACGGTCAGGCATGACCCCTTTAAACTGTCCCGACATTGATTCCGGTCAATTTCTTATAGGGCAGTTCAGTCCCTTTTTTTTTTTTCCCCCCTTTTAAGGGTGTTGTGCTAATGTGTTAAGCATTTTTTAGCCTTTTTTTTATTTAGTGGACTACCAGATATGTTCGGTAGCATTTATTTGGACTAGCCGTTGAGTTTTTTCCCGGCTTCAGTGCTGATATATCAAGCACTTTTTGGCCTTTTTTATTTAGTGGACTACCACATTTGTTCGGTAGCATTTATTTGGACCAGCCGTTGAGTTTTTTCCGGCTTCTTCCAGTCATCCATCGGCAAGCTGCGTTTATTGAATATCTTCACACCAGCTTGAGGGGGAGTATTAAAATTAGAAAATAGTGATATTATAATTATGGTAGTGTTGGAATTAGAAAACAGTGATATTGTAATTATGGTAATGTGTATAAAATCTGTGATTGTGTCAATCACAGATTTAATGCCTTTTTTTTTATCTTCGTTTTCTTTTTTGTTTGTTTCCTATTTTGTTTGTTTCTTATTTTGTAATATTGTTTCATTGCAAATACAAGGCTCTACCTCATTCATAGGTAAGCATAATAATTCTTTTCATTCTTTTTTGTTGAAATTAGGAAATAGTGATATTATAATTATGGTAGTGTTGGAATTACGAAAGAGTGATATTGTAATTGTGGTAGTGTGTATAAAATCTGTGATGGTGTCAATCACAGATTTAATACCTTTTTTTATCTTCGTTTCCTTTTTTGTTTATTTCCTATTTTGTTTGTTTCTTATTTTGTAATATTGTTTCATTATAAATACAAGGCTCTACCTCATTCATAGGTAAGCCAAGTAATTTTTTTCAAAAAAAAAAAAAAAGGCCAAAAAGTGCTTAATACATCAACACCACATCAAATGACTCTCATTTTTATTCACTCCAAATTGGTTATAAGGCGGAAGCATACAGATAATAATTTACAGAAATTGTTGCAAAGGTTAATCTTCAAATCATACCGATATCTTCTCCGCAATTTCTTGTCTCCGAACTTCAGATAATGCACGAAATTCTTTCCCTTCTATGATATTTGGCTGAGTAGCATCAGCACCTGACACTAGAATCCCACATTCTAAAGCTATTGCTATACCTGTTCGCAGATTGTCACCAGTGACCATACGCACCTATTCAAAATGAAAATATTTTTTTCAACCAATTGAGCTAGATCTATGACCAATAGATACGGATATGAGATACCAGATATGGATATGATACAACATGGATATGGCAATAGCACAAAACTTTAAAAAAAGAATACGGGCAAGATACATTGAAACAATCATATAATTTTTCGTTGTGTTATACATAAGCTCAAAGAATGGTAAAAGACAATATGAATTACGCATTAGCTTAAGAGCTAATAGTCAATTTACTTTTTCTAGTGGGTCCTATAAAAGATTTATTTTAATATCAAATCTAAACTATTCCTATTGCACTTGTGCTTTTTCCCGTCGCACTTAAAAATGTAGTAAGTTTACATGCTTATGTAATTGTTGAAATCCAATTTTAGTATGATTATACTTTTTTTTATTTATTCTTACTTTCTACAACATGTGGATATGGATATGGATATGGATATGGGACATATATATATATATATATATCACAATAAGGATAAATTAATTTGATAAATTCTGAAAATGCAGGGTACTTCTTTAATCTCACTATTTTCTGCTTCTACAAGAAATAAGAAAAATAGTATAAAACTATTTTTATATTTATCACAACAATTATCCTTACGCAATAATTCATACAATATCAATTTCATAATAGTCTGGATATGTGACCCAAGTATCTATCCGATACTTTCAAAACTAAAGGAAACTAATATCTAGTATATGATACGTTTAGGAAGTATCGCATATATATGCGTGAGCATCTGAGTAGTAATGGTAGACACAGGTATGATACAGATACAAACCTTTTATACAAGTAGGTGTTTGCCATGCACTAAAAAAGTGCACTTTTTTTTTTTTTTGCATACATACATTTATTTGGATTACATCAATCAACATCTATCAAGATCTCCTCTCTACTTTTCTACCCACTTTCTCTACTTTTCTACCCACTTTCTCTACTTTTCTACACATTTTTTTTATAAAAAGTCAAAAAATGCACTTATTTAGAACATCCCAAACCACCCCTAAATGTGGATTCCGTGCTTTATATTTCTGTTACATGGACTCTTCTACTTTCCCCAGAGTACACGTGTCCACCGGATATGACACGAGTAAGGGTGTGGGATATGTGTCTGACACTCGTACCCAATTTAGATACTCAGATCCTTTAAATTGTGAGAATGTATGAAGAAGAAGAAACTCACATTTACTAGTAAAGCAATATTTTTAGTCTTTCACATGAAATAGATATAGAAATTTCATATGTTTCCTGAATCCTATTTAATTTCTAATATATTTCTACATAGGAAAATGTTTGGGAACCCCACAAAGGAGGACCCCCACAACCCCCATTGATGTATTAACCATTGATGTGTTTGAATTTTTTTTTAGCGTTGTATTTGACAGTGACATGAATGGTTCAGATCATTTTAAAAATTGTGGGGGGTTGTGTTTTGTGGAGGTCTCTATCATTACTGTTCTACATAATTTACTATATCTCAGCCGAGAATATTATATAATATGCAATATTTATGTGTACATGACGCATCCCCTTACCCATATCCAATTTTGGATATGTATCCGTAGATCCTAAAATTTAATTTTATGAAGGTCTAATACTTGAACACACACCCGCACATGATACTCGTACTCAAGTCCATGTAACATAGCTTTATATAGTTGGATAGTACATATAAAAAGGTGCAAGGTATTTACATACATCATAATGGTATTCACCCAACTTAATATCAAAACAATAGAATACTAAAACATCCCATCTATCCCCCCACCAAATATATATATAACTTAGAAAATATGAGGAAGAAGAACTCCGAAAATATGAGGAAGAAGGAATATATTTCTGTTATATTCAAAACTTCTTATTTTACAAGACCAAATGACACTCCTTATATAGGAGATATTACAAACATCATTATAACCCATTATATGCCACTTACATATTACATATTACCACTATCTACCACTATCATATTATATACATGCCACTATCTACCACCAACATCACTATCATATTCTATGCATGCCACTATCTACCACCAACACCACTATCATATTCTATACATGCCACTATCTACCACCAACACCACTATCATATGCCACTATCTTATTATATGCATTAACTATCCCCCCACCAAATATATATATATATATATTGTTCATAGAAACTATTCTTATGAAACGATACTTATTGCATTCAAAAAAACGTTCTTCATACAAATGCTCCACGAGAACGTATTCAATTGAGTGCGAAAACATCAGATCATCAATGAGAAGCAATAAGTCTTTTTCACCAAAGAGCTGATATATGAGCCATTGAGCATCAATTGTGAATTAGTGCTAACAACCATTTCAATAAAATCTATTTATTTGCTTAAATAGTAGTCAGTTAAATTAATCAAATCAAGGACCGTCGTAAATTGAAATAAATGTCTACCCAATCACAGCCAAGCATTTCATAATTAAAAATAATCACAGCCATGAATTTGGCATTTGGTGCCATTAAAGATCTGCCAGTGCAATATGCTCTCAAAACACTACATGTCACCTGCATAATATTCAGAACCGTACTACATATCACAAAGTACTTCATTGCTAAAAGCTAAATGAAAACCCAACTGGAAATCCTAGGTAATGGTCAATTATGGGACAGAAAAAATATACAACATAAAAATCATACACAATTTACACCAAATGCTCTATCATCTTAAATTATTTTCCTGTCCCATTAATGCGTAGTGTAAGGTTACAATGACAACATTCAAACTAAATTCATAAAGTTCAACATATCCCATATCTGAATAATAACTTCCAATGCAGATACTTGTCAAAACTCACAAAACACAGGGTCAAGCGAAGGATCAGGACCAAATGGACCCAAAAAACAGACGAATATAGATGGCAGTTCATGAGCTCACGTGAAGCCATTACTCGAAACAACCAACAAGCAAACCCGTTGACCCTCCATAAAAATATATAAAAATAAATAAATAAAGTAGAAAAAGAATTGGTACATAGCTTAGAAACTTTACAAGCAACAGCAAAACCTTAGATCTCTTTAGAATTTTAATATTAGTTGGTACACAAAGAATATCACCACAAACTATATTCTTCATGAACAACTAGAATGAGAGCCACAAAAAATACCTTAACACCTGCATTTGTGCACAACTGAACTGCATCTTTCACACCTGGCCGACATGGATCCTACATCACAAAATATATATGCCCAAGTGAGAGAAGAAAGTGTGTCTAGACAATATTACCGAAAAATAGAAAACGATTCAGATAATATCATTGGAAAATGAGAAGTACCAGAAATTCACCATGAATAAGAGAACAATTGAAAAAGAGTAATGCTAACTTCACTAAAATAAGCAGTCAAGTGCAGTAATACAATGCAGACATCCAAGCCATGACAATAAATTTTGAAATCAAATACAGCTTCCAAGTATTCATAGATAAAATTAACATCAAGAATTCATCAACAGAACATAAGGCATTCTTAGTTTAACATATAAGACTCGAAATATGAAAACGATATGAAATACATGAAGTCAAATCCTAAGAATGAGCCAAAAACCCTTTTAATTATTCACTTTCTAATCAAATCTCAAAAAGCTGGGATATAATAGATGAAAAACTCAACCTAGAAATAATGATCCACACAAGTACATAACATAACCCAACAAATTAAATTATTTCAATGTAGATTGCAGTGACCCAGGTCCAAGAGCCAAGATTTCTGAGGCTTGAGCCCAAGATGGATGAGATGAGGTGGAGATCACAAGTCCACGAAATATGTTGCAAGTGTGAGCTTTGAGCCTTCATTGTACAAGCGATTTGAAGCCATCTAGACCGTTGACCTAGGAATGATCCATGGAGTTCTCTGTGTCTTACCTTTGCTTGAACTGGATTTTTCCGAAAAGGTGCTCATATGCTGGCTCACCACTAATTGGATAATATTGTATAATATTGAATTCAAAAACAGTCATTTGGCTAAAAAGTTACAGTACAATAGCTATCAAATAGTGGCAGCAAATTTCTAAGCCACTTTGTTTCTTTTTGTCCAAGTCACTTCTTTTTTTCTATTTTTCATTTTTTTGTGGTCAAAGTTGCTTTTCTTTTTGTCTGACTCACTTCCTCTTTTCTTTGTGAATTTCAGGAATATCCCCATTCATAGGTCCAAGATCTACATAATTATACCCTCAAACTAATAGGTACCAAATAAACAAAGCAAAAATTATACCTTCAAACCAACAATAGCTAGCAACACAAGATCATTCTCAGGTATTTCCCAATGAGCCAATTCCTCCTCATCACTTGGAGTATTTTCCATTTCATAAGATCTATAAGCAATAGAAACACAACGCAAACTTCTGGCAGCCATATCTTCAATATCTCTTTGAAATTGTTTCACCTATAGACAAGCCACATTCCACGAAATGAACCATTGGTTGAAAATTTTGGAAGACAACTATGAATGTGATACACAGTAGGCAGTTTTTTAAAAACTTAAAATTCTGAACTCATACACATTACGTTTTAATAATTTTTTTCTTCAACAAATTTTAAAAACCACGTAAGCCCTTTCCATAATTCACATATTTCAACACACTACCTTAGCCCAAACAGAAAAGAGGGTTCTGTTTGGTTTGATTTTTCAAAATTTGTTTTTAGACGGTTTTCATTTGTTTTTAATGATTTTTTTGTTCATATTTTAGTCATTTTTTTACTTTTTAAATGCACCTAATCGAGATACATCTAAAAAGTCAACAAATTTGACTAAAATAGAAAAAAGGTTCACTCAAAATAATTGAAACCTATCCAAAAACCAATGAGTCTTTGTTTGGGTTTTCGTTTGTTTTTATTGACTTTTTTTTCACATTTTAGTCATTTTTTTTGATGCATCTAATCTGGATGTATCTAAAAAAAAAAAGTAAAAATTAATTAAAATATGAAAGAAGTTCACTAAAGACAAATGAAAACCCGTCTAAAAACAGTTTTTGAAAAATTAAACCAAACTAGATTTCCCAATGTATCTTGAAACTTACAAAGATTTTGGAAATTTAAGAACACAAAATTCTTGAAATTAACAAAAGATATTTAAATTCAAGAAAATCATTTTGACTTGACGAAATAGCTTCAGACAACTATTAATGCCAGCCACCATTAACCTGAAAAAGAGTATCTCAAACCTTATCATCATCCATTGGTATGAAATGATCATTCGTATCAATGAATCTTGTACACGAAGCTAAGACTATTTCAGCGGCACCTTTCCAATGTAAATGAACTTCAGAGTCTGGCTGTACATATAACAAATATTTTAGAAATATACAAGCAACAACATTCTATTACTACTGGAAAAGTATAATACAAATGAAATGAATATTCATTAGATACATCCAGAGTTTCACAAAATGTTTATTTGAGATGAATATTATTTTTTGGCTCAAGAAGATAAAAAAGAATGACATCACTGAACCAGAGACATCCTGTGGCATTAACGTAGGCTGCTTTCTAACCAAATTACAATGTGTACAGCATTAGAATAAAGAGTCTCAGCATGCAAAACAGTCAAGATCACCACTTAATGATCCCACCTACACATGGCAGATGCTAGTCTGATAGTGTTCGTGATTTGACAAAATTTAAATGCATCACCAACATTTTAAACAACAAAGAAATGAATTGGTCAAAAGAAAGGTGCAAATGGATACCCAACTTTCTGATTATGGCATTGATCAAGAGAGGCATGTATGGAATGAACACTCACAACAAAGAAAACCATGAACAAATAAACAAGAGATACTCTCTCTCAAAAACTGTATTATTAATCACCAAAAGCTGATTTCCCCAAGGCTTACATAAGTTTATACTAAACTAATTCATGCTAATCAATTAACCCTAAAAAGGAAAAGATTAATTCTTGCTAGTCAAAAATATCTAGATTAAAATATTAATTTTTGTAAAAGAAACATAAATTAATAATTGAACACTATTCTATACTAAACTAGAATATTCAAAATCAAATATTAATTTTAAAATAATAAAATAAAATTTATAGATGTTCTAAAATATTTCTACATCAGGTACCCAACCCAAAAATGATTAAGTGGTTTTATTTCTAACATGATAAAGTCAAAGTTTTCAATCAAGACCTCCTAGGTAGTTTAACACAAGGAACTAACAAGAATTGGTCTATATCAGGTATCTCATGAGTACCCAACAGGTAACCAATGTGAATCAAAATGCTTCCTTTCTTCCACCACATTAGAATAGCAACCTTTTTAAGAATATAGGGAAAAAGGATACAAGAAAGAAGAAATATACACAATCAATTTTGGTGAACCTATCCCAAAATTAATTGCTCAAATCCCTACGAAGCAAGATCGGTAGAACTAGAATGATGCAAGACATATGACCCCAAAAAGCTTCTTTAATAATCTAAAGAATAAAAAAGCAAAAAGGAAAAATATGAATTATGTAAGACATATGCCCCAAAAACTTACTTTTGAAGAATCCAACGATGATTAATAGTCTAAAGCACGTATTGAATGGAAATTATCAAAAAATAAATAAAATAAAATAAAAATAAATAGAAGAAGAAGAAGAAGAAGAAGAAGAAGCAACGTCATAGGCGCATTTCAACTATAGAAGATATCCTGACATATTATGATACAAACTGCCTTCAGCAGATGATTGGATCAATATCTGCATAAAAGATGCATAATATAAAAGAACAATAGTATGCCTATGGTAAAATTGCAATGACGGTGAAAGAAAGATCCTAGGTTTATGACTTCGATTTCATATTTGTCACACGACCTATTAAATCATATTTTAAGGTTAATCTATGACTTCATTTGTGCTCATGTCTGTGTGCAGCGGTTGCTGAAAATGATGTGTTTCTTGGCTAAATTATTTCAACATATAGTTTGCTTGTGTTTTTCTATTAGTTTAAACACTAGGAACTCTGCTTGATTATGTATACGTTTGCACAAGAACTATAAAAACCCAAAGAATGAAAGCAACAAAATTCACACACTACCACATAAGTTAGTTATAGATCATACAAACAAAACCATTTCAACTTGGTGTGTCAGCACACTTTGTTTGTACATTAATTTCAACTAAATCTAGGCTAAGATTCGTATGTAGCCTGATCGGGGTTTAATTGGATGACGAGACCCTAAACTCAGTCTTTGAACCTGCACAAGACAAATTACAAGCGAGTCTATGAAATACGAAGGAAAATATGCCCAATCAAGTGATGATACAAGTGGGGCCTACGGTGGAAAAGTTATAGAGGATCACTTTTGTTAAGTCACCAATTTTCCCAAAAGCCTAAGCTATTAGGAAATGGGCCCAACAATGAATATCAAGCTATCTAACACCCTCCCTCACGAGCAACCCCGCCTTGCACGGGAAGAGACAAACAGAGAATCAAAGAGAACGAGAGGCAAACAACCACACAAAGAGGAAGAAACCAAACGGGGACAAAATACCAAATGCCAATGGAGAGACTTGAACCCAAGACCTTTTTAACCAGAACTCTGATACCATGTTAAGTCACCAATTTTCCCATAAACTTAAGCTATTAGAAATTTGGTCCAAAAGTGTATATCAAACTATCTAACAACTTCTACAAAGATCAATACGATCGGTCTAAATTTCATAAGATACGATAAAATTACATTCAAATTTAAATGATGATATAATTACCAATTTCAATTCAGTTAGATTAAGACAAAAGAAATAAAAACAAAAGAGAATATGACGAGAAAGATCGAGAAAGAACGATGCAAGACAAAAGAAAAAGATAAGAGAATAACCTAGGAGAAGTTGAATGGCACCAGAAGATGAGAAGTTGGATACACTTAGAACTCCTAGCAGAATCTTCTGATACAAAGTAATGCATTTTGGCATAAAAAAAAATGTTGGGGCAACATATCAAACGGCAATGACTGTAATTTTTGGTGACATGATTCACGACATTATCGAAGGTTATGTTGATGATCTTTGTTGTCAAAACAAGGAGAAAGGAGGAACATATGCAGGATTTGAGAAGAATTTTTGAACATCTAAGTAGACAAACACAAGATAAACCCACTAAAATGTGACTCCGGGGTTTCATCTAGAAAATTCTCGAATTTGTGGGTTCGAAACAAGGGAATCTAAGTGGATCCTACAAAGATCATAGCACAATGAAGATTAGCTTACATCAAACAATTTATTTCTAACTTAGCCGGTCAATGCTTACTGTTCTCAAGGTGGAGGAAAAAGGATATATCATTTGAGTGTGATCAAGCATGCCAAAATGTATTTTAAAGCTTCAGCTCATTCAAGACCAACTTGTTATGTAAACAAGTCAAGTGTGAACACACATTGAAACTCATATGTTTTTCAAACCAAGCTTGAACAACCAATTGCTCACCTCAACTCGGCCCATTTATAGCCCTACCTTCCGTAAGGCAAGAAATTAAAAAAAGAAAAAATAATTTTTTGCAGAAATTATAAATCTATACTTGGTAAAGCAACAATTCAATACAATATGAGTTGTTTTATTTAAAACATTAGTACTATTGATTCATCTTCCATTCATATACTATTTTTTTTTTTTTTCCGCCGGTGAAGCGAAAAATATTAGGTTCTAAACCTGCTCTGATACCATGTTGAAATTGATATATTATTGATTGATGTATTGTTTGATTGATCTATTACAATTACAAGGATTCCTATTATATAGGAGTGTGTTTGGGAGTAGGTGGAGAGTAGGTGAAGTGGAGGTGGTAGTGGTTGGAGAGTAGGTGAAGTGGAGGTGGTAGTGGTGTAGTGGGTTAGGTTTAGTGGAGTAGGTGAGGTGGTAGTGGTGGTAGGTTTATGGTAAATTCTAACAAAAGTTTTCATGATTATTTAATGATGTAAAATTGTTTTACGATTTTGAACTGCACAGATTCAATTGGATTACTTACGCATGAGAAAGGAGTTATTGAGAAAACATCAATAGTCAAGCACTGACCAAGAAGGTTGTAGCTTGTAGAATAGGGATCACATAAATTAAGCTTATAAAGTTGTTGCAGGGAGAGAGTTCCATGACCAACAACTAGAATGTATAGATTTTCCATGTAATACTGCAGGGAGAGAGTTCCATGACCCACAACTAGAATGTATAGATTTTCCATGAAATATTTAATTGTTTGATGGTATCACCATAGGATGATATTCATGTAGCTAAACCCACTTGGTTGGGACATAAAGCTTAGTTTGGTTTGGTTTGGTTTGGTTTGGTTTGTTTTGTTTTAGTAATCTACTAATATGTAACATCAGAACTCTCATTGCTTACCTTAACTTTGCACACAAAATCTGCAACACATTCCTTCATTTTTTCATTTTTTATCCAGTCTCATCCGTGCTTGAAACAATATAACTTATATAAGACTGAATCCATGACTCCAATTATCTTAGTTCAAATGTGACAATAAAGACCATACTGCATGTAACTTCAAAGGACAATGATCAACATAAAAACATGCAATCAATCAACGGAAAGAAGAATAATTTTTGAACAAAATGTATGTAGAACTTTTTTTTTTTTTACCAGTTTAAGTGCAACGCCGCCTCGCTTTTTCTCCGAGTTGAACGGAAAAACATGTATGATTGAAGAATTTGATCTAATTGCATCAAAATTCATGCCAAGCTGTAAAAGATATATCAACAGTTAGACCTGTTCTTCCAAAAGATATAAACAAATTAAAATCAAATAACGAAGTAGATAAAATAGCAACGGTACATCGAGGCCCCATTGGAGAATGGCCTTTTCTGTTGGTGATCCAGCAACTTCGTACTTTCCGCCACCCTGTTAAATACCAACCACAATAAAGGATAATAAATTGAAAGATAACCAAGTTGAGTCAATAAAAATATTTATAATGAAGAATCTAGTATCAAATTGGGATAGGCAAGAACACATCATAGAAGGAACAACAGCAGACAGATAATGCTTAGAAAAAACCTCAACAACTTGCTCTCATAGTTGAGGACCTCAACAATGAGACAAGGGAACACAGCTACTAGACAATCGAGCTACCACAACAAATTGAAAATGGAAAATCAACAATACATATATGCGTACACATAAACTTAAATATATATATATATATATATGCAAGCAGTCCACATAATCATTTATTCTCTGAAAATTGCAAGCCCTTGAATCTAATGAACCAAAAGATAGAAAGACAAGCTTACACCACAATTGATATAGGTCAAACAACAAAACTACGGCCCAAAGTCGTATACAATAGAAATTATAGTGTGTTTTGGTAATGGATCTCAAGGGTTATGATTCTATAAGGTAGAAGAAGGCTTCTAAGGTTTCAAAAATGATTAGTTTGACTTGATTTTCAACAGTATCGGCTTGCTTAATTTTCAGAATAGTCAGTTTTGAGGGCCTAAACGGTGAGTAAACTAGCATTTAAATGGTTAAACTGAAGGGCGACAAGTAAAGTGGCTAGGGAAGATTTGGGTGTAACTGGGTCAAGTTTTGGGGTTGTAAAACACACTTTCAAGGGATTGTGAACAATACCCCATGTGGGTCAAGTTTTGGGGTTGTAAAACACACTTTCAAGGGATTGTGAACAATACCCCATGAACAGAGTAAGGTAAGACTAAGAAATTATCCCCAAGTTAAGACAAAGGTAAGACTAAGACTGCACAAAGAGCTCCTTAGGAATTACCCCTAAGGTAAGACTACGACCGCACAAACAACTCTTTAGGAATTACCCCTAAGGTAAGACTAAGCCTGCACAAACATCGCACCAATAACTCCTTAGGAATTACCCCTAAGGTAAGACTAAGACTGCACAAACATCACACCAATAAGAAGAAGAAGAAGAAGTCCTTAGGAATTACCCCTAAGGTGAAAAAAAAAAAATAGAGGCAAGACTAAGACTGCACAAAGAACTCTGTAGGAATTAGTGTTAAAATTGATGTATTATTGATTGATGTATATTCATGACTGATATGTTGATCTATTACAATGATTCTGGTTTGGTTTAGTCAAAAATTTCCAAGGGAAGCCAGGAATTGATGTAGGTACAAGAGTGTACAGAACCATTATTAGTGTGTTCATATCTTTAATATTCTTGCACCTCAGTTGAGATGAACGTTTGACTAATATGGAATTGATGATCATGAAATAAATGTATGATGTTTTTAGTAAGTAAATGAAGAATACATATTATTCAAATTATGGATTTGAGATTTGAGATTGAATTCATAAGCTCTAATCTCGAATATTGAGGTTGAATTTCTTGGGACAGCTCAAAGTAACAATTGAATAATTTGGTAACACTTAAGCTAAAAGCTAAAATAAACAAGGTTGAACTCTTACTTGTGATCCTTGAAGAATTAGTTTATTAATTAAAGGATTAGCTAAAGTGAAATGGGTGGGAGTCAAATTACATTATCATAATGCGCCTAAGAGATTGAAAGATCAAGTCAAGGATTGAGGAATTGAGAAATAAACCAGAATAAAAAATCAAATACACTTTCAATAAGAAGAATTAGGGGCCATCTAACACTTCTACCTCAAGGAAATTAAAGCATGTAACCAACTACGAGCAATTGGGCAAACAATTTTATGATTGAATTGAAATAATTTCTACCACGAAGTCGGATAACGAGGCTTTTGACACAAACCTTGAGCATAAATAATGAGGAAACAAGTATGTCACATAACAAAGACCATTAGATGCAACAGCAGAAAAAAGTGACATGATCACACAAACAAAAATGTTAAAAGAAGGAAAGACTTCAACTAACATGGGAAGCTATAGTAAATTGATATTTATTTATTTATTTTAACTGAGCATATATACTTGATAGAGCAAAATGGTGAGTCATGTAGCTGATTTAAATTGATTATGACACAAGGCGTAGTTTGTTTCGTTTGAGTCCTGTCTTAGAGTAGATGCTAATATGCTATTGATGTCTAACGGTTAGTGCACAATCTTAAAATCTCTAGTTTTTGGAAGTATTTAATTAGATTAGATTCATCAGCATGAATAAAGCCCATCTTCATACCGCTAGTAAATTAAAATGTCATGTACCCTAAGAAGAGCGGATGTGGGCATACCACAAGGATACAACACAATACAAACAACAAACCCAACAATTCTTAATATCCAGACATGTACATGGTAGGGACACTGATAAATAGATATCAGTTTACATTTATATAAATGAAAATAATATACAAATTTCTTTACAATTTATCATATGAATAGAGAACCAAATTATACATAACTACATTTGAACGAGTGAGGAAAAGAAAAAAAGTAGGATGTCTCATAACCGATGTCCATTAAAGAAACCCTACTAAAAAATAAATTGGAACTTGCTCGACATTAGGTTTCCAAATAAATGGGGATTTAATTTTACTCATTGGCCCCCAAATTGTGCAAAGAGACCAATATTTCTCACACGTGTCCAAGTGATAGATGTATGGATTCCTCAAGTTTGCAAAGTATGTCCAGTTTCAAAAAAAAAAAACAAAACAAAACAAAACAAAAGGACAAAAAAGAGGACATTTTGACATGTTGGCATATGTGCGTTGACTATCAGTGATACGTCTGAAACACAGTCAACTTTATGAGGTGTGCCGTTTTCTTATTAGCAACAAGGAAAATATTATTTCATAGACAGAAAACCAGAACACAACATATGAGGTGTGCCGTTTTCTTGTTAGCAGCAAGGAACATACTATTAGATAAATAGAAAAATAGACACAACATTATCAGGTGTGCCGTTTTCTTATTAGCAACAAGGAAAATATTATTAGATAGATAGGAAAAAGGATAAATAAATAAATGCAACAGAGATAAAATGTCCGATAAGAAAAAAAAAATTAAAAGACAAAAAATTAAGCGAAAAAGTCAAAATCACATCTCACAGATTGCCCTCCAATCCCCACTAACCAAAAAAAGGAATTCCCTTAAAAAGGAAGATAACACCAAAACCCAAAACCCAAAGAACACAAATAACATTTCTTATCCCATAAACATCCAATATCATTCCGCTTATCCTAAACAACACTTGCATTCCATTCCAACCATATTACCCATATGAGGGCAAATACCATATAACTACAAGGAGCCTGAATATTTTGGTTAGAATCAATGGTCATGTAATCAATCGTAAGCATCTAGACATGAGAGAAAAGGCCCAGCTAATCCATCTCCGCTAACTGATATTATCTATTCCGTAAGCCAAGAGCTGCGGGGCAATGCAAAAATAGAAGATCAATGCTCTCCTCTTACCCCCGACACAACACACCTTGTAGAGGTAAATAGCAATTGGCCCCTTACTCTCAATCCTATCCTTGGTATTTAATTTTTTATGAGCCATTTACCAAGCAAAAACTTGAACTTTAAGTGGTACATATGTCCAAATCATCTTGTGAGGATAAAAAGTGGCACATTGGGTTCATCAATAATAGATTGAAAAAAAGATTTGCAAGAGAAACCGCCATATGAACGACCACAATCTTCTATCAATAGTTGCATTTCTCAAACACCTTTAAGAATGGATAGCAACGAAGCTGGATCAGTTACATCACAATTATTAAGATTTCATGAAAAGTTGAAATTCCAAGCGTTCAAAAATGAATGAGAGGAAACATGGAAGGAATAGATGCATTATGGAATTGTGTTACCCATTACAAACTGGGATACAAATGATCAAAAGAATTTCACCCCTCCACACATCTTCCCGAAAAACGAATTTGCTCCCCATTATCCATAACAATACAAATAAGTCGAGAGAAACAAGAAAAAACTTGACAAATGGACATCAAAGGAAATCGAAAACTTGTCCAATTGACCACAAGAGAGTCCCAAACATTATCCTGCATCCCATATTTACTTTTTCTTTTACTTTTCTTTTTTATTTTTTTTTTTCATCAGCAACACTCATGTTTACTGTTAACAACAACATGCCATAAAAAATTACGCTCCGTGCCAAATCTCTACAGCCATTTACCATACAAAGCAATATTCTCAAGGAATATGTTCCCCAAATAAAAACCTCCTTATTCTTCGAAACAAAAACGACCTCCCAATTAATCAAGTAATCTTTCTTTTTGTTGTCACTGCCCAAAAAAAAAACCCTCATGTTTTCTCAGTCTTATTAGCCACACCAACCAAAGTTCTAAACAACAACAAATAGTAAATTGGAATACTTCACAAAACAAACTGAACTGGGGTTAATCCTCCACCTTTAGATATCATTGACTTTTCCACCCTTCGAATCTCTTAGCAATCCTCTCAAATACCTCCCAAAAGAAGCCCCAAATACTTCAAAGGCAAGGACTAAACGGGGAATCCTAGACGTCTAGCCACCCTTTGTAATCCAACTTGTGAGATATTAATTCCAACAATGGAGTTTTCGATCATATTCACCTACAACCCGGATATCATTTCAAATTTCATAGGAAAGATAGTTGATTAACTACCTTAATTTTGTCACCAGAAGAGTAAAAGATAGTGTTAGATGAAACTATAATGAGAAATTGAACGACTTTCCCAACTAATCAAAAAACCCTCCACTAAACCTAGTTTCTCAACCTTGTCAGTTACTCACCCCAAAACTTCAATCGCTAAAGTAAACAAGGGGGGTCTAAATGTAAGATTTCTGAATGAACAAGAAGTCAGCATGTTGCAAAGCAAAAAAGACAAAAGGAAGCGAGATACAACTAGACTGTAGATACTGACGGACGAAGTGACAATCAATCTCAATGCGCTTCATCTATTAATGAAAGCACACTCATCCAATGGGCCCTCTAATGGCAAAAAGCACACTCATTTGAAGCCAGGGGCTCTTAGCATGGAGCTGATGAGGAGAGGGAATTGATAACAGTGGAGATAGAGTAGGAGCCAAGAAGACAGATGGAGATAAAGTTTGACTGGCCATCTTGAGAAGGTTTCCTTGAAGAGAAGATCACAAACTATAGCATCCACATAAGGGATAGAAGAACGGGAAAGAATGCCATCCCGGATAGCCTTATACTGAGGAGAAAGATACGTAAAGAGTTGCACCAAATGACCTTCCTTCTGGAACTGTAAATAATCATCAAGTACCTTGAGGCTAGATGGCTCCATGAGAGCCAACTAATCCTAGTAACCTATCATATAAATGTAGAAATATTGAATAGACCGATCTCGCTGACGAGCACCCTGAATAGCTGATTCCAATTCATACTATTTGGCAAATTTAGACTACTAATACACGCCCAGTAAATAATCCCATACCTCCTTGGCAGTGTTGTATTTGGAAAACATCATCTCAATACGGTCTTCTACTGAGTTGTGAAATCAGGTAAGAACTTGGACATTATCACAATCCCAAGTGTCACAAGTAGTTGGATATCCATCTTTTTTCGGGTCTAATAGACGAGAAACAAAACCAAAAGCATATCTCCATTTTTTTCGACCAAGATGAAAATGCTTCATAACACTAGACCAATAAGCATATGTCACACAGATAAGTTTGCATTTGATGCCCTGAATTTTATCCTTTGACGTTGTAATAAACCAGAAAAAGAGAAGAGAACTAATGGAGCGAATTGTAATAAACAAAAAAAGTGAGGGGTTAAGTGTAATAAGCCCAAAACAGAACAAAATAACCCAAAACCCAAACCAGGGGATGGCAAATCATACGTGACTAGAGATCACGAACCAAAGAATTAAAGGATTAGAGAAGACAGAGAGCACTTCGCGAGAGAGATAGAGAATTAGAGAGCTTGATCACAATACTCCTAGAAAACCAAAGAGAAATCGCAACCAAGGACAGAAGACGAGCTGAAGCCCTAAAGAGACAAGTCGAAGCACTGAAAAGAAAGAAGACAACCAACAAATGGCAACAAACGGATACTTTCGGCTTCAAATATGAACCAGAGTGAATCAGAGAGAGAGATAGAGAGAGCATGAACCAGAAAACAATGGTGACAGCTCTAGGGTTTCGAATCAGAGAACGACTGATACAAAGTAAGATTTCTGAATGAATAATCTATGTATTCAATTGTATTGTAAATTTGTAAAACAAAGTGTATCTTATATAGAACTCTAACCCTATGACTAAAAAGGAAATACAAACAATACTTAATTACACAGAATATTTACACAATCTCGGAATATATGCAATATATACACTGATATATTATCACACTAAGACCCCTAGAAGCCTCAAAAGAATCACTAGGACTACCATTAATGATAATCGATAAATTACAAGTAGACAAGCATTCTTGAATCCATTTCATTCATCTTTTTTCAAACCCCTTTCTTTTAAGTGGCAAAATCCCAAAAACCCCACACCACAAAATCACAAGTTTTTCAAAACTTGCATAGAAAATAAACTCATATTTATCTCTATACTCTTCTACCACCTGAATAGCTACCAAAAATACATCCAAAATTTTATGCCCCTTAACAAAAGCACCATGACAAGAAGAGATAATATCCCTCAAAACCATTCTCAACCTCAAACATAACGCTTCAACTAAAATTTTATACAAGTGATTAGCCTAGCAGGTCAGAAATCACCAATCTTCAAGGAATTCTCTCTTACCCCAAGCATTTGTGCAGGTATTGACAACCTCATTCTTGAAAAATTCATTAAACACTTCCATCAAATCATGCTTGACAATACGCCAACAGTCTTGAAATTGTCTTTTCTTCGTCTCTGTGAGTCTATGCATCCAACTGTCTCAACTAAAAAAATATTCGACTAAAAATTTTCCTTCAATAATTTTCTTTCGATGTCTTGGGTAACAACACATTTAATGAGGAAACAGCATGCATTCCATCAAACTGATTCCACACTAGAACTATTGAAAAAGAAATTCAGTAAATCTCTCTCTTTCTATCATCAGGAATGTCAATTGCACTTTGGCAGTAGATACGTTCAACACCTTATAAGGCCATATCATAAGCATATTCCCTACTTGTAGGATCAATGCAACACATCTACTGACATACCCATATTCGCCAATAAATACAACCGAAAAGACACCAAGACAGCAAATATGGTAAGCGTTGACATTTCTTTGATTTTGTCAAATGTTCAAACTCCTATAAGAAGGTTTACCTCAAAACACTAAAGCATTAATATCATGGCAAGTACCATCTTTAGACTACTAAAAGTTGTATTTTTATTTGCAAACTTAATGCCAACTGAAATGAAACTTTCAAACCTAAAACAGTGAACAATCTCACACCAAAAAAATTCCTCCAAATATTCCACAAAATGTCAATGTAAGCACAGACCATCGCAGCTTATTCTCTGTTCCAATAACATCTCAAAATTATAGTCAATATAGTCTATTTTACTCGATAAAAAAAGGGCATACCCAGTGCACGAAGCTCCCGCTTAAGCGTGGTCTGGGGAAGGGTTGATGTATGCAGCCTTAACCCCCACAAGTGGAGAGGCTGTTTCGGGGTAGCTTTACCGCTACGCCAGGCCCGCCCTTCAGTCTATTTTACTCGATAATCCCAAAAAAAATTGAATCATGTGGAACATAATTTAGATTGTTGAAATTTTTTTTAAAAAGACCAAATAATATTTTAAACGAAGGTCAGTTTAAAACAGATCATATTTAGTGGCAGATTAGTCTGAAAGGAATAAGGATGATCCTATTAGAAGTCCAGACAAAAGAAAATATCATCAATTTTGTAAACCATGAATTCTGTTAGAACTATACGAAATTATATCAAGATCATTTTCAAATGAAATTAGATGAAATTATTGGAAATCCGGAGTAGATATCATTTCAACATGTATTAGGAGGGTGTTTGGGATGAGATAAAATAGCCCATCCCATGCTAAAATAGCTAATAAAACAAAACACCCATCACATCACTTTCTCTACTTTTTTGCCTTTTCGTAAAAAGCCAAATAGCCAACTACAATAGCCTATTCCCAAATTATTATAGAAATTACTACAGAAGATATAAATAGCATGGAATGGTGCATTTCTTTTTTTATTATTAACGTAAATATCTAGATATGTAATGGAGATGGAAAGCCTAGTACACTCGTCCAAAACAAACTTGATACATATTTCTTTTACTCACCTCAGGTACAAATACACTGCCAGTAGTATTCTGTGCAATACTTTCAATGAGCAGAGATTTAACCATAGGAGGCAACGCTGCCTCATTATCTGCAGGATCAATTTTCTTTCCACCAACGTAGGCCTCAACCACAGTCATCTGTACAATAATAAAAATGTTACAAAATGACAATGAGGGAAAACAGGTTTCTATCTAAATCTTCTCCCCCTCCCCAGATCATATATATACAGAGAGAGAGAGAGGAGAAGAAGAAGAAGAAACCAAAAGTAGCACTTTCAGTTACCTATCACCCAATTCTAAACTCAACAAGCATCACATAAAATAATATACAAGTAAATACATAAAACAAAACAAAACAAAACAAAATGTTTAAATATTCACTTGACATTGGCTTCCAATTAAACCAGTAAGGCATAGGAATATCTGATTTGATTATAATCTTCCTAGGACCTTTCCTACTTTTGTCATGTTAAAGAATCAAAGTAATACACTGATGAAGTAGAAGATTAAAGAGGCAAAGATCTTTCTTCAAGTGCATTCAAAAATTAAAGAACTCAATGACCAGAAAATCAAACAATGAATGGGTCAATGGAATTGGAATATTGAGCACTAGATGTTTCCAAAGTAACAGAATTTAACCCACCTGATTTAACGTTAAGGTCCCAGTTTTGTCACTGCAAATGGTAGTAGCAGAGCCCATGGTTTCACAGGCAGAAAGCCTCCTGACCTGAAGTTCAATATTTGTGAAACATTTAAACATGTAATTTTATGTGTGTATGTATGAATATCAACATCATATGAAGCGACTCAAAGAAAAGATAAATCACACATACCAAGGCCTTGTCTGACATCATTTTCCTCATGGAGTAGGCAAGGCTGTAATACAGGTAGGGGAATGCACTTTAAGAAATTAAAGTAGCATAATCTTTGAACTAGATAGTAAAAAAGAGGCTGGAATGAGCAGGAAATATGCAGCAAAACTAATGATGGCCCCAGTAAGCAATGACATTGTCAAACTTGAAGATGCTACAAGGACTAAAGTAACTTAGAAGAAAACATGGAAAAAATAGGAATCAATGACACGTCCTCCAATAAACTTCAAAAAGAGAGTGGCAAGAAAAGAGAAGCTCTACCTAACACCAATTTTGCCCAACCAACTCCAGATACTTGACAATATTTTTGATCAATTGAAATGAGTTAATAAAATTAGAATGACAACAAAATGACTGAAAGAAGGTCAAACTTACGTTAAGGTAACGGCTAAGGGAAGCCCTTCAGGCACTGCAACAACCACAATAGTGACCTAAAATTCCTTCAGGTATTAGTCAAATACTCAAAATAACTATATATGAATATATACTAATTACAAATTATGTCTGTAAAACGGCACATACTGCAACAGTGAAAATCTTAATAACTCCATCTATGGCAGTACTAAACTTAGTCTGACCAGCCGTGAATTGAGGAGTTCCATCTGTGTTTTTGGTATGTCCAGTAAAGTATCTGCAGATACTCCAATTTATAAGTTTTACCAGTCCAAACTTTGTTTTTTAGAGAGAAATAGAGAATTGAGGAGAGAACTCAACAACTAAGATTGCAATTACCTTATCAAAAGGACAAGCAGAACAACTATAGCTACTGCAAGTCCAACGAAGCCAATAAATGTTGCAACCCCATTTAATCGTACCTATTATAATGATTCACAACATAGAGCTTAAGTAACAAACTATTGTTGATAAACCACACTAGAAATAAGCATTTGTGTACAAACTAACCTGCAACGGTGTTTCTTCACCAGTGTCTTCTGAAATGCTCGCCATTAGCAATCCCCACTCTGTATTTATACCAACACTTGTTACCTAGAAAAAAATAAACATGTGAGTTAGCAAAGTAAGCCAACCAAGAATTAATAAGTAACAAAACATGCTAGATGCTGGGAAAAGGTAAACCAGATGTGACTCTGCATTTACATATATAAATGCTGGAAATTTGTGTTAATAATATAGTGGCATGTATAGAATATGATAGTGGTGTTGGTGGAAGATAGTGGCATGTATATAGTATGATAGTATAAACAAACTTTTCACTTTACAAAAACAGAAAAGGAGTAAACTAGCACATCTTATTGATGGGGCTTATTAGTTATTGGCAATAGTCTGGGCTACAGCTCAAAGACGTGTGTTGTCTTCAGTGGTGTCAGTCTCCAAATGCTTTTGGATGGGGGGAGGGGGGGCAATAAAATTTTCAACGAGGTCTTGTTGGCTAATAAGTGGGGGATTCTAGATTGAGAAGAGTTATCAACCTGGGTTTATTTGTGAGGTGGATATTGAAAAACACTTGTGACCATGTCAGTTGGAACTTCATTATTGTTTGGAGCATATCACAGTGTGGGTAGAAATGGACAGATTGGATGAGTTATTGTCAGGTTGTCAGTTCTAGTGAACGGTTTTTCAAGGGGTTTCTTTCACCCATCGAGAGGAGGGTGATCCATTATCTCTGTTGTTTATTTTTATTATGGAGGTTCTTAATAAAATGGTGGAGAAAGCAATGTAAGTGGTGTTTTTGAAGGATTTGTGGTTGGCTAGTTTGATGGCTCCCCCTTTGTGGTTTCCAATCTCCTTCTTGAAGGATTTGGGGTTGTTCAGTTTGATGGCTCCATTGTTGTGGTTTCTCATCTCCTTTATGTTGATGATACTACTATTTTTCGTGGAGCCAAGGCTCAATAGTAGGGTTAGCCTCGTTGTGTGTTGCTATGCTTTGAGGTAGTTTCAAAATTAAAGTGAATCAAAGAAAATCTAGCATTATTCCAATCGGGGAGATGCCTAAGAGCATCTCCAATGGTTCAATAATCAATGCCAAGTTAATGCTATTTATTAGTGATGAATAGTGATAAAATGTTATGTTATAGCAATGTTGCCCCAGTGGTACAAATGTTATTTCTTCTATTTTTCTCACAAAATGCTATATGTGGGTCCCACCATGAGAGATGTAGAGACAAAAAGACACTTCAAAATTTACCTACAGCTAAACCTTGTGCCTATGAAGCACCGACACTTCAAAACAATTGTCATATCAGTGTCGAACACATGGACATGTTTATTTAATTAATTGCTTGACAGGGACACACCAATTAGTTTTTTTCCTCTTCTTTAATGCTTTTGATTGACATTGGATATAAAATGTTTATTATTTTTCGCTTAAATTAATAATTAATAAATCATCCACACACCAAAAATAAATAAAAGAGGAATGATAAAATTTAACTTATGAGAGGTTTTTTTAATATTGAATTTGTTATTTTTTTATTATTTGTAATGTTAATATTAATCTACATAGAAAATAAATATATATATATATATATTATTTTTGAATCCCCACCATGTTTGTCCCCTTTTTTTTTTCTTTTTTTTTTTATTTTTTTTTTTTTTATGAAATTGGCCTGTTCGCATCCGTGTCTGTGTTCCTGCTTCTTAGCCTTGTGCCAAATTTGCACAATATGTAACAATGCTAAAATATAGCAACCCATATAGCTAGCTATTAAAGGGAGAAAAGTTGAGCTTCCTACAATTTTTTAGAAATAACAATCCACATAGCTAGCCACTAGAGAAGCTCTAACATAGATATGTTAGCTGATATTCTTGGGTGCAAGGTTGCTATTCTTCCCTCTTCCTATTTGGATCTCACACTAGGATCTGCTTTCAAAGCAAGGTCAGTCCAGGATTTAGTGATAGAGAGATCACACAAGTACTTGGTTGGTTGGAAAGGTAATATTCATCCATGGTAGCCGTGTTAACTTTGATTAAAAGTACCTTGTTCTAGTATTTCCGTATATTTATATTTTTATTCACTATCCCGACTTTGATTGTCAAGAAGTTATAGAAGCTGTAACGTGATTTCCAATAGGATGGGATTGGGTAAGAGTTTTATCATTTGATAGATTAGGATATTACCTTTTGGACATCACCCTCTGAAGAGAGCCGAATGATCGGAAGTTGAGGGAGCTTTTTGATATTCTATGAGCTTACACACTCGTGCAGTAGATAGGAGTGATGTAGCCTGATGGACTAGGAACAAAACAATTGCTGACAATCAAAGAGCATTCATGCCGACTACAAGGGCTAGTTCGGCAGACTATCCCAATCAAAGTGGGCCCAAGCTGTCCATTTCTGGAGGTGTAATAGGGACATGGGTCCTGACATTATAGTAATAATGAAAAACTCAATTTACGTGAAGAAATATCTACACAAGGCCTCTACATAAGGAAGGTAGCTTGAAGAAGGAAGGTATGCTCAATTACCCAAACTCTACTCTCTCAACTCCTAACCTATCTTCTCTATGAGCCAATATCTGACTTGACCGTCGGAGTACTAATTCTGCCACTCCCGACCGGAGTGTTACTTGTTTCAGGTACCTGAGCAAGGATCCATCAAAGGTCTGCTTGGGGCGAAGGAGTATTGTAAAACCACCCCTCACAGTTTGTTTTGGAGGAAGCCACCATGTCTTGGGTTCACACCAAACCATTTTTGTCAAAGACTAATTTAATAGACTAAAAGTCCCCAGTTTGTTATTTTCCACTTAAACTCGTTAGTTTGCAGCTTTCTTTGAATTTTATGACAGTAAAATCTCAATCTGGATTCAAAATACGTTTTCACTGCGGTGCAGATGCAGCTAGGAAAGAGTATAACAATTTTTACCAGCATGGTGCCACAACCATCAGCTACTTTGCATCCAGACATCAGAAATGGAGCTTTTGAGCTCTTGTCAACCTGCCAAAAAAGAGATCATGCTAAGAAAATGAAAATTAGGACAACCACATAGCACCATAAAATAAATGGGATAGCATACAGTCTTGCTCTCCCCTGTCATGCTTGATTCATCAATTGCAAGAGAATGACCAAAAATTAAAATTCCATCAGCTGGGACCTGGGACAAGGTTCAAAATGTCAAAGTCAATAAAAGCATCAAAAATTGACCTGTGTAATCTCAATAAGAATAGGAAATTTATGCCATTCACCTGATCACCGATTTCGAGAGGTACAACATCACCAACAACAATATCAAATATTGATATCTCCAACCTTCTACCACCTCTAATGACCTGTTTGCATGCTTATCTTCAATTGACGGGGAAAAAAATAAAGGAAAAACACAACAATAATGTGGGTAATGAATAACATTTCCTAACCGACAAACCTCCAAATGTATATTCTGCTTCTCCTCATTTAAATTTTGGAACTGAAGGGATTGTTTGTAATCACTTACAGCTGTAAAAAAAATAAAAATAAAAATAAAATAAAATAAAAAGGGGAAAAAAATGCAATTGCAAGGGGGGGAAAAAAACTTCAGACAACAAACAGTAAGATAAGTTTTCTATGAAAGCCTAATGTCAACATTATCAAAAGGAATGTGTAAACATTATTACTACAAACATCCACCAAATACAGAAAAAACTATAATTACCAAGGAAATAGATTTTATTTTTTTTTAAATGATGACCCAGTGCACAGTGCACGAAGGCTCCCGTTAAAGCGAGCTTGGGGGGGCTGTTTTCATGAATTGAACCCGCGCAATATGTATGCCACTAGCAAGCCTTACTGTTGAAATAGACATGGTATACATTTCAGTGCACCGGGTAAACCATCATCAACAAATCGATTTGCAAATGTGTGTTTGGTGGCATAAGAAAGGACCACTCATAATGAATCAAACACACATGACTGTTTTATGTCACGCATGCACTGTATAACCTTGTTAATTCATGAATCAACTTGTAATATGTTTACTACAAGGAACTTGCTTTTATGGGAGTCAACAGTTACTACGAAAATGATTTCCCAAATCATACAAAACAGAAATTTCCTAAACTATTTAAGACTCAACTACTTCCAAAACACTTACGGGGTTAAAACAATTAACCCACCAACTACAGAGCATGCGCATCAACTCAACTCAACTCAACTCAACTACGCCTTCTCCCAACTACATCGGATCAGCTAATATAAATCCTATTTCGTCATACTGCTCAATGAAGGGCCATTTCTCCATTATCTCCACTATTGTTGTCAAATAGCAAATCGAATGATGAATTGTTTAGCTAAAATAGTAAATCGCAAATCCTATCAAATCATGAACTATAAGATTCACTATACTTAGCATAATACGTAATTTTATATATGTATATATATATGCAACATGTTTCAATTGAAATAAATATTGATATAACAAAATTATATATAAGAAATTACCAATAATATGAAAGCCGCGCCTAGGCGCAAGGTGCAAGGGAGGCACCTTAAACCACCCAAGGCAAGGCGCATTCAATAAGTTGCCCGCCTTGGCAGCGACTTGGGCAGGCGATGAAAGGCACAAGGCGCAACGCTTATGGGGCTTTCTTTGTTTTTTTAAATCTTGTTTTTGATTGAAATCTAACCCTTTGATCTACCTTCATATGAGGTACAACTACATAGGATTACAATCCAGCCCAAAATCTATCTATGACTGAAAGAATCCCTAATCTTCAAAGAAAAAATCTTGCAGCAAGAAGACTCTCTTCCCTTCGTCGACCAGGTTGGTTCTCCTTCTTCTTCGCTATTCTCTATATATTTTTTTTTTTTTAATTCTTCGACTTCTTCGCTATCTCTGTTTTTTTTTTTTCTTCTGCTCTCTCTATTTTTATTTGGCTGCTTCTTCTTCTTCTTCGTCTTTGCTGTCTCTATTTTTTTTTTTTTTTTTTTTTCCTTCCTTTTTTTTTTTTTTTTTTTTTTTTTTTTTTTTTTTTTTTTTTTTTTTTTGACCTGACCTAACCTAACCCAACTTTTCTTATGACATTGATTTTTTGAAATTTCAAGACTTATATTAGTATTTGTTGGATATTCATGTTTTGGATGTTTAGTAGGGTTTTTTTTTTTTTTTTTTTTGAATGTGGATTATTTTACCTTTGAAAATTGAAATGCTATGTAATATGCATTTTTATGGCTTTGAGAATTCTTCTATAATTTTCCTTAGTTACTGTTTTTTTTTTAAAAATAAAAAATAAAAAAATCCCTCTTGTCATAGTACTTTCATGCTATGAATTATTAGTCTATGCTAATTTATCTATTTTTTACGGAGACCGTGGGTTTAAGTGGGTGAAGTAGGTGGAGAGTATGTGGATTTAGTGGGTTAGGTTTAGTGGAGTAGGTTTAAGTGGGTGAAGTAGGTGGAGAAGATGTAGGTGTAGTGGGTTAGGTTTAGTGGAGTAGGTGAGGTGGTAGTGGTGTAGTGGGTTAGGTTTAGTGGAGTAGGTGAGGTGGTAGAGGTGGTAGTGGTGGTAGGTTTATTGATAAATTTTAACAATCAATATATTCAATTGATCTCCTATTTTTTATTTCGCAAAAGCAACGTCGTCTCATGCATTATGCAAACAAACTGTATATCAATATATTCAATTGATCTCCTATTTTTTATTTTGCAAAAGCAACGCCGTCTCATGCATTATGCAAACAAAACAAAATCTCAATGAATCATGGTGATTAACAATTGAATCGTAAGACTCACTAAATTTAATGTTTAATAGCACAAATCAAAACATTTTTGTTGAAACTTGTATCAAATCATGAATCGAAAGATTCTAACAACCATGGTCTCAACCTATGTTAATTAGTCTCCCTCATCTCCTAGCATTACCCTCAGTATGTCTGTCAATCTTTCTAACTAGTGCATTTATTTGAATTCATTATACATAACCCAACCATCTTTATCAATTTTTCAATATTTTATTTGCAATATGTGTGGCCTCTACCACATCACCACAAATCATTCCCTCGCAACTAACAAATTCCATCATAATTGTGAATGATGCTCCTTGACATGCATATTGTCTCTAGCTTATCCTCCATTTTGATTTCTGGTTTGGGCATGAAATATACTTGTACAACTTTAGATAGTACACACTATTCTCCATCACACTTTTCTCGCAAAAAAAAAAACCTATCCTATGTTTTTTTATCAGTCAACAAGAGCATCTCCAAGAAAGAGAACATTGCATTGCTATTCAAGCGCTAATAATTGTGGGAGCAAGCAATAAACTGAAAACAAGTGCTGCTTAGGAGTGCAATCCCTAGTAATCACTAAGATACCAGCTGTTGGAGACATGCCAATCACAATAAGGGACACTTAAAAATGTATGTCATGCCTGTATCCATGTCCAACAAATATCGGACACCAACACACCACTGATACAAGTGCCCATGTGGCATGCCAATTTGTTTAATTATTATTTTTTGGCAAGACACATTGGGTACACTTCACGTACACGCATGTCTTGTGTTTGGATTGGATAAGCCTCAAGACATCTTTATGTGGTTTATCTTGTTTTTGGATAAGCCTCAAGACACCTTTATTGGGTTTATTTTCAATCATTTTAGAAAGTTGATTTGGGGACAAAATAAAATATATGAAACAGAGGTGTGAAATGGAAAAAATAAAAATACACCCACATACATATTGATTTCTCTTATGTGTCCTAAAATTATATTCATACTTAGCAAATAAAAACATATAAAAAATAAACAAATAAATTTTGTATCCCCGCCTCATGGGGTCCATGTCGGTGCTTCTTAGAGAGTGGCATTACCCTAATTGGCTAGTATACAGCTTGTAGATCCAAGATGACTTGATGCCATGTTTTCTGCCATTTTCCTATTGCCTAGTTGATAGAAATAAGGGGGATGTGTAGGTCTTAATAGGTGGACTTATTGTCCAATAGGTAATGGTTTTTTTTATCAAACACTATTAAAAAAAAGTCACTAATTGTAAATTTTCAGCGACAATTTAAAAATTGTCATTAAAAATGTCACTAATTATAAGTTTTAGCGACAATTTATAAAAATCATCATAAAAAAGTCACTAATTTTCAACTTTCAACGGCAGTTTGAAAAATTAGTCATAGAAAAACGTCACTAAATTTTAAGTTTTGGCAACAATTTATAAAAATCATGATAAAAAATAAAAATAAAAATAAAAAAAGTCACTATTAGTCAATTTTTAGCGACATATGCAAAAAATCGTTATAAAAAAAATATTTTTGCCGACAATTTTACTAAGACTTATGTTCAATAGAACTTGATTAGAATTAAGTCCAACTATTAGGATCTATTGGTAGTTTACCTTAAAAATAAGAAATAAATAAAACATTAGCAGTGTGTTGACCACTTCAAGGTTTCCACTTTATGTTGCCTTTCACCCACACATCATTAACCTGTTTTAAAGATGTACAAATTCTGGACAGCTTTGGGAAAATATAAGTTTTAAAGCGTCAGTGACTTCTCTTCAAGAATCACTTCTTATAACAATCTGATCATGTAGAAAGGCCTTTGGTAACCATTGTCGGTTCTTGTTGAACAAATACCCATCTAAAATCTGAAAATCAGCTTGTGGACTGCTTGCTCAAACCAGCAAGCAAAATGGTGTATAGCTCCTGAATCAACATTATATCATGACAATGTTTTAGGTTCACAAATCCAGAAACTCTGGTCAACTTGTCCACCAATAGATCCCTTTAAATCCAGCACCAGTACTATTTTACTCACGGCTCTTGATAGATCTTCAAATTGGAGGTGGAAAGGTGAAATCTAAGATATAATTATTCCAATTAGGTGGTCGGATGAAGCTTTTGAATAGCAACTATACGTTCTTCTACAATCAACATGCTTTGTTGCATCAATGTAGTAGGCTCGTAATTTTTTTTTTTTAGGAAGAATCAAAGCTGGAACCAGATAAGTAGCACGTTGTATGTCATGCCATGGAGGACGCTCTTTGAGCAAATATTTAGGAATCAATCCGGAAATCCAGTGAAGACATTTTCAACTTTCAGCAGCTGACCTCCGTGCTCTTCCTTAAGTCAATCTTAGAGCTAAAAATGAACTCTGTTGTCCTTATTACTTTCTTATTCCCCTGGCACTATCAATGGTGTTGAACCTAAGACCAGTGTCAGTATTATCAGATTCTTGATCCAGTTTTTCTTAAACTTATCTTCAATCTCTGGATGGCCATAGCAATGATCTGCTTCATGGGACTAATCATTTTTTTCTCCTTGTCTGTTGATTTTAATCACAGTTCAAATAACTATCTTCTTCCACTTTTAGCTTTATAAATTCAGTAATAATCATGCCATTTCTTACTTGTAACTGTTTCTTTTACTCTTTCCTTTCACTGAACCAAATTACATTGTCACTGAATAGGAAGTAAGTTTGTCCTTGTTTTCTTCTTGCTGCCTTGGTATTGG